GCGCAGGTGAGTGACCCCTGGAGGCCAGGTGCGGCCGCTCTGCGGGACCCCGGCGCGGTCCCACGGGGTCGCAGACCCTCGAGGATCAGGCCGATCGTGCAGGGTGGGGCCGGCCCCGTGGACGCCGCTGGAGGTCTAGGCTGGGCGCGGGGATGCCCGGGGCCCCTTCTCAGTGGGGCAACTCCCTTGTCGCTAGGGCAGGGGGCAGACGCCTCCCGCCGCCGGGCAGGGGTTTCCGGCCGTGCCCATCCCCCTGGACAGACCCGATCCCGACAGGGACAGGCGCAGGGTCTGTATTTCTGACCCCTGCCCGGGCAGCTCCCCTGAGCTGGCTGTGTCTGAACACTCCAGAGCTTGGGGAAACGCGGAAATGACCAAGATCCGGATAATAATAACAATAATGAAAAATTTCCCCCCACCTAGCATTTACTGAGGGCTTCCGTGGTAGGCATATCCCGTGCGTGTCATTGAAGCAAAACACCTCGTGGGAGGTGCTGTTACATTTAGAGGTGAGGCAGCAGACCCAGAGAGGTGTAGTGACTTGCCCAAGGTCACACAGCTAGTAAGTGGAAGATCTGGGACTGGAACCCAAGCCTCAAACTCCAGAACTGGAGTCTCAACTACTAGACTAGGTGCCCAGTGGCTCCGTGGCTCAGGTGTTCCTGACAGGCTCCTGGGTCTGCTGCCTCCCACCCCCATACTCACCATCTGGGCCACACCTGCTGGTCTTTGCTTTCCCCCATCCCCAGAGGTTTCCAGACACAGCCACTCAAACAGGTAGCTGCCCCCGTGTCCCTTCTCACCTGAGCTGGAAAGGCAAGGCCCAAATACCTGGGTCCTGAGAAGATAATGACACCTTCAGGGGAGATGGGCCCCCCGGGCAGCCTGGACCAAGGCCGGGCAGTAGGCGTCCTCCCCGGAAACACCCAGGAGCCGGTTTTTCAAGAGTGAATCAGAGGCCTCCTGCCTGCCTCTCCAGAGCAATATCCTGGTGAAAGTGGGAGCCTGGACATGGTGTCACCCCCTCTCCTGGCATATATGAGCTCCTAGAAGCCTCCTTCCCCACTTCCTCCTCCCCGCACTGTGCTTCTGCGAGTTTCAGGCCTTTCCCAGGGATGCTGAGATTCTAGCCAACCCGCTTGGGGCCCAAGCTGAAGCTCCTCGTATTCATTCCTGTGTTCAGCTTTCAGGGGAGACGGGGAAAGTGGGGAGGCAGTGACAGCAGCTCCACAGCAGGCATGTTGGGGGGCTCGGAGAGCTGTCAGAATGAGGACATAAGACACAATCATTCATTCTACAAATATTTACTGAGTACCTACTATGTGCCGGGCACTGTTCTTGGCACAGAGGATATAATAGTGAACAAGACAAAAATTCCAGCTTTTGGGGAGCTGGCATTCTAGTGGGGGGAAACAGGCAATGTTAAGTAAATACAGAAGATAATTTCAGATTGCACGCTAAGTGCTATGAATAAAATATGAGGGGGTGGGGCCGGCCCTGTGGCTCACTCAGGAGAGTGCGGTGCTGATAACACCAAGGCCAAGGGTTCGGATCCCACATAGGGATGGCCGGTTAGCTCACTGGGTGAGCGTGGTGCTGACAACACCAAGTCAAGGGTTAAGATCCCCTTACCGGTCATCTTTTAAAAAATATATATATATATATATAAGGGGGTGGTATGATGCAGAGTAACTGTGGGTAGAGGGTGCTCTCCGAGGAGGTGATCTTGNAGGGGGTGGTATGATGCAGAGTAACTGTGGGTAGAGGGTGCTCTCCGAGGAGGTGATCTTGGAGCCAAGGCCTGAATGACGAGAAGGAATTGGCCTTGCCAAGATCAGGCAAAGGGGTGCAGACAGGGCAAAAGTCTTGAGGCTTGACCAAGCTTGAAATAGTGCAGCTGGAGCAGGAGATGAAGCCAGAGCAGTGATTCTGCAGGAGTCTGTATATCACAGTAAGGAGCTGGGAATTTTTTCCCCTTAAGGTGGGAAACCCGTTGTAAGGCTTGAGGCAGGGGAGTGATACCATCTGGTTTACATTTTAAAATAGAGACATGAGGTTAAATAACAGCCTGAGGCTGGAAGACAAGCGTTCTCCCATTCTCCTGAGGCAGCATATAATTAAGTTATGGGCCTTAGCAGTCTGGACCCCAGGGGGCGGTTCCAACAGTATGACGCAAGCTAGGGAGGCTGCCTGGAGGAGTTGGCCTAGAGTAGG